GTACCAATACAAATGCCTTCCTTTTGTTGATTCTCAAAAATAGCCATTGCCTGTCTCCTAATCAGAACTCTGTTTGGCCTTAGCTATTCTTATTGATCTCAAATGATTGTTGCCTGTTACTCTGAAAAGTCTTATTTTTATTTTTATTTATTTATTTATTTTTAAATAAATCTTTATTGTTCATATTATTACAAATGTTCCTCATTCCCCCCCCCCCATTGCTCCCCTCCACCAGGTTTCCACCCCACCTTCTGCCCTTTCCCCACCTCCCATTGTCCTCATTCATAGGTGCACAGTTTATGTTCAGTCTCTTCCCACACGCCCCTCTCCCCTTTTCCCCGAGAATCGTCAGTTCACACCCCTTCCATACCTCTGATTCTATTATATTCACCAGTTAATATTGTTCATCAGATTTTTTTTTAATTCCCTTGGTTTTTAGATTCACTTGTTGATAGTTATGTATTTGTTGTTCATAGTTTTTTATCTTTATTTACTTTCTCTTCCGAAAGAACTCCCTTCAGCAATTCATATAATTCTGGTTTGGCGGTGATGAACTCCTTTAGCTTTTTATTTATTTTTATTTTTTTATTATTAGTGAAGCTCTTTATCTGGCCTTCGATTCTGAGTGATAGCTTTGCTGGGTAGATTATTTTTGGTGTAGGTTCTTGCTATTCATCACCTTGAATATTTCTTGCCATTCCCATCTGGCCTGCATGGTTTCTGTTGAGAAATCAGCTGACAATCGTATGGGTGCTCCTTTATAGGTAACTACCTGCTTTTCTCTTGATGCTTTTAATATTCTCTCCTTGTCTTTTGCTCTTGGAATTTTAATTATGATGTGTCTTGGTGTGGTCCTCTTTGAATTCCTCTTATTTGGGGTTCTGTGCACTTCCTGGACTTATAAGTCTATTTCACCAGGTGGGAGAAGTTTTCTGTCACTATTTCTTTCAGTATGTTTTTGATATCTTGCTCTCTCTCATCTTCTGGGACCCCCATAATTCTGATGTTGGTTCACTTGAAGTTGTCCCAGCGGTTTCTTACATTATCTTCAACTTTCTGGATTCTCTTGTCTTCTTGCTTCTGTGGAGGAGTGTCTTCTGGCTCTTTATGTTCCAAATCTTTGACTTGATTCTTGCGATCTTCCATTCTGTTTTTAGGACTCTGTATAATATTTTTTATTTCAGACAATGTATTCTTTATTTCTTGTTGATCCATTATTATTTCTTGTTGATCCCTTATTAGTCCTTGTTGATCCCTTTTCATATCCTCATAGGTCTTATCGACCTATTCTAGGAAATTCTTGAAAAACCTTATAAGTGTGGTTTTGAACTCTATATCCAGTCGCTTCTTTTCCTCCATTTCTTTTGTTTGTGATTTGTTTCCTTGTCTTGGCATTTTTACAGCTTCTCTGAGTTGGTAGGGTGGCTTTGTTTGTTAAGGTGTCCTATATGGTTCAGTGAGTAAGCCTCCCAGTTACCTGAGGTGGACAGTCTTGGTGTAGCTCTTTGTGGGCTGTGTGTGCAGTCTTGTTGTTAAGCCTTGCTTGTTGTTGGTATCACTGGGAAGCGTTGATCTCCAAGCCAATTGGCTATGAGGATCAGAAGTGTCTCAGCTAGGAGGGTTTCTGTATTCCGCTTGAATGGGGTGGAGTCTCAGGTGGCACAGACAAGCTTTGTTGAATCCTGCACAATTGGTTGGAGGCGTGTGCACCTCTTTGGTATAGGCACAGACAAGCTTTAGATTTCTGTCTGTCACTCCCTAGGAGAGTCCCATTCGCTACGAAAAGCTAGCCACTGGAAGGGCTTCTGTGCTCCGCTTGGATGGGGCAGAGTCTCGAGTGGTGCAGACATGCTTTATTCAGCCCCTCCCTACGAGGGTCTGGTTTCTGAGTCCCGCAGTAATGGCCGCTGGTTTCACACACCTCTGAGAGATCTCTGCCCACTGCCTGACAGTCTGGCCTCTCCCTGTCTGGAGCCATCTATCAGCGCAATAGGGTGCTTCTGTTTTCCTCCTGAACAAGAAAGCCAGCTGTGCATTAGCTGCCCACCCTCTCCGTGTGCAGGGAGTAAGCCAGTAGCGAACTCTTCGACCGTCTTTTCGCACGTACAATTCTCTGCACCTTCACAGTTCCTGGGGTTCAGTGTGCCTTCTTTCTCCTTCCCAGATGGTAGAACCTCTTCTCAGCCAGCTGTCCGGTGCTTCAGGGTGATGTTTCCCCTGTCTTTCAGTTCTAAATTCAAATTTGTTGTGATAAGCTGCATTCGGGTGTCTACCCTATGCCACCATCTTGGTTTCTCTCTCCTGACTCAAGTCTTTTATTTTTAGATTACCATTATTTTTGTATCATTCAGAGTTCTTAGTTATCAAGAACAGAATTTATTCCATCTAATATTTTCAGAGAATGGATTTATCAGGGAGTATTATGCAGTTTTACAAAATCTCTAGGAGAGTAAGATAATTAGGCTTATGGGGCATAATGTAAAAATAGATTATTTTAAAGTTATGTTTGTCAGCCCCAGGCCAGTGTGGCTCAGTTGGTTGGTAGGTGGTCCTGAACACTAAAAGTTAGCGAGTTTGATTTCCAGTCAGGGCAAATACAAAGGTTGTTGGTTCAGTTCCTGGTTGGGGTACACACAAGAGGCAAACAATCAGTCTCTCTCTCTCTCTCCCTCTACCTCTCTCCCCAACCCCCTCTTTTTTGACTTTCCCTTTCTCTCTCTAAAAATAAATCAGCCCAGCTTGTGTGACTCACTGGTTGAGTGTCAACCTATAAACCAGGAGATCACGGTCAATTCCAGGTCAGGACATATACCCGGGCTTCGGGCTTGATCCCCAGTATGGGGTGTGCAGTGCAGGACGCAGCTGATCAATGATTCTCTCTCATCATTGATGTTTGTATCTCTCTCTACAGCTCCCATCCTCTCTGAAATCAATAAAAATGTATTTTTAAAAATCATGTGTCAGGAATATTATCCAAATTATAGCCAGGGTTGCTTTGGTGGCCAATTATTGGCCCCCACAGGCCTTATATGCTGCAGCTGGCCCAGGCTAGAGGTCTTTTGCCACCACTTGTTCCAGGCAGGGTTTTAAATGGGGCCTGCTTCCTCATCTCAACCAAAATGTCACCAAAGGGTATCTGATTGGGCGAGTCCAAATCATCTGCCTGATTTCCATTTGCAAGGGATTCTGGAAAAGTGAGTTTGAAAAAGTATTTGTTAGAAAAAGATTTTTTATTTTTTATTTTTACTGCAGTAACTTGTATTTCATAAAATGCAAATATCACATTTATATTCAGATGAATTTTTACATATGTAAACATACAGATCAAGAAAAAACATTTCTAGCACTCCAGAAAGTTCTCTCATGTCCTCTCCCGGGCAACCTCCCATGAGAGAACCTCTTCTAACACTATATATTAATTTGAACTTTGTCAGAATGGAATCCAACATATTATCATAGGAAACATCCAAACCTGCAGAGAATTTTATAAAAATTTATTTGAGCCCTAACCAGTTTGGCTCAGTGGATAGAGTGCTGGCTTGCGGACTGAAGGGTCCCGGGTTCAATTCCGGTCAAGGGCTTGTACCTTGGTTTTGGGCCATAATGTAAATGGGGGGTGTGCAGGAGGCAGCTGATCGATATTTCTAACTCTCTATCCCTCTTCCTTCCTCTCTGTAAAAAATAAATAAAAAATATATTAAAAAATTTTATTTGAGCCAAACAGAGGACACACCTGGAAGCAATATCTCAGCAGGCAGAAAAATGTTTCTCACAATGACAGTTTACAGTTTTTTTTTTATGCATTTGGAATTAAGGAGGGAATGTAAGGAAGATTACATGGAGGTGGGAGAAAACCAAGTGGAATTGGATTATTGAATATACATGTGCTATCCTCTGAATAGAGGTATTTCAAAGGTGTGCTAACCTAGATGCACAAAAACAAAGGACAGGGCTTGTGTAAGGCAAAGTGAGAATTTTTAAAGAAGTTATAGGCTTGAGGTGAGATTAACCATCATGACCTGCCTGGTTAAGAACTTAAGATCAGATCACCCTGTGTGGTTACTTCCATAGAACCCCTTTTTTTCATTCACAACCAGTATTTACTATTGTGTCTGGCTTCTTTCACTCAGCATTCAAGACTCAGGAGATTGTAATTTGTCTTGTTTGTCCTTTCCTCAATGTTCTGCAATGAACAAATAAGACTAATTTAATTTACTTTTATAGTTATTAGTATCTTTAAAAATAAGAGCAATACCTGCCAATTACAATGTTTTCAGAAAATAGTTTTGTTTTTTTTTTCAAGCAGAGAAAGTAGAACTTTAAAAATCAGGGAACTATCTATAATAATAAAAGTATAATATGTAAATTGACCAAATGACTGAACAGTGGACCGACCATTCGGACAACCTTCAAGATGACCTTCTGTGAAGCCGGGGCTGCAGCCACTGTGGCTGCGAGAGGTCGAGGCAGCCAGCATCAGGGGCTGCGAAGGTCTACTCTTGCACCAATTTCGTGCATCAGGCCTCTAATAGAAAAAAAATTAAATAAAGCAAAATCAGGGAAATATACAAAAACAGTTCATATTCATATACAGTATATATATAGTGGGGGTCACAATAAGATGTATGCTGCCCCAAAGCTGCAAGGTGCCTCCAACCTCCTCTCAGGTCCCTCATTGTTGTTCCCAAGCCCCAGCTGTTGGCAGTAGATGGATGTCTGCCAGTAGCTGGGTCCAGCTGCAGGAGTCAGCAGGAGGCCCCAGCAGAGGAAAAGCACCAACTTGTACATTTCCAGGGCCTGCTGTGGCTGGCACCGAGGATAGAGAAGAGGATCTTCCTGAGCTTCGGGGAGCCTCTCTGGCTGCAGAAATTCCAGACGGAGCCTTGGTATCCCGCTCTGGGAGGGGCCGTGTGCGGGTGGGAGCCAACCAGAGGAGGAGGGCAGTCCACTGCTTTGTCAGCTTCTCCCTTAACCTTGAACTGGCAGATATAAGCTGGGCCCCAGGGCCAGAGTCTCTTGTCAGGCCCTGCTGCAGTAGGAGTAGGAGCAGTGGCAGTCTTGGGGACAACATGCTGGTCAGGGGGCTTCCTCTGCGCTCAGTCCTGGTCAAAGGCTGCCAGCCCCTTCTCAGTGCCTCGCAGGAGGGACCGGGGAATCCCAGGGTGCCCACTGGAGAGGGAGCCGGAATCTCCACTCGCATGCCTCGTCCTTTCAGAGAGATCCCCTCCCCTGGTGACAACGGCTGGCTGAACCTATACCATTTCTGGAGGGAGAGGGGTTCACAGAATTTCCACTACCACCAAGTCCAGAACTTCCAGAAGTATGGCCCCATCTACAGGTAAGCCTGGTAGAGGGAGGGCTGGTGGGACAGGCAGGGAGAGGGGCCTGGACAGCTTTGCTGTGTTCCCCCTTCCCAAATCGCTTGCCCATTGCAGGTTCCTGACTACCTTCTGACTTTGCTTCTTCCATGCCTGGTGATGGTGGCAGGAGAATGGATAAGGCTTCCAGACAGTGGGTTCAATTCCCAGACTCAACCCTTCCCAGGTCTTATCCTTTGAAACTTTGTGGGGTGTGGGGATAGTAAGAGGACAAGCCTCTGTTAACTGGTTAACTGCCTCCTACATCCTTTATCCTGAGAACCCCTCGGAAGGTAAGCTTTCCACCCCATTGTCAGAGGGACTAAGGCTTTAGTCAACCAGTTAGATCCCTGTCCTGTTGGGCTGCTGGCCTCGCCCCTCAGCCCAGTGCATCTCTGGAGCCGCTGATTTTGTCCTTTCCTCTTGGCCTGGCTAGGCCCCCCTTCCACAAGCATCTGTCTTGCTATCTTGCTTTCTACCTGGAGGAAGGGACTTTGGTCTTTTGGCCTCAGTACTGCCACTCCCAGGGCTGGGATGAGGGGGGCGCAGGTATCTGAGGGCTGCCCCTGGTGGCAGGCCTTGCTTGTTCTGGTTCAGCAGTTTCTAAGGTGGGTCATCTTTAGGCCAGCCTGGGTTCTTTTCTGAGAGCATAGTTGAGGAGGATGGGAGGTGGTGGAGGTGATCGTTGGGAAGGGAGGGAAGAGCATCCTAGGGCATGTTGCTGGCTGGCTGGGTGGCTGGGGTGGGAGGGCAGGCTTATTTGTGCAGGGGTCCAGCTGCCCACTCTACTGGGTCACTTCCTCCCTGTCCCACAATCCATTTTGAAGCCTACAGTGCCTTTCTCACAGCAGGTTGGAGACCGAAAGGCCCTAGGCTGAGTTTCAGGCTTGGGAGAAAGTTATTCCGGAGTCTCTCTCTCTCCTAGGCCCATCAGTGCCTCTCCCTCAGCCTCCCTTCAGGGTTGTTCCTCTCTACCCCCTGCTTCCTGTGCCCGGAAGAACTCTTTACCAACCCCTTTCTGTTTTCTGAGTCACTTTTACCTGAGCCTTGAAGCATGTCCTTTAAATTGGCGTTAAAATCCCATTGCACTGAGGCCCAGGGAGAAGAGTCTTGCCAAGGTCACAGAGCTCACCAGGGCAAAGCCAGAGCGGGAACTGCCGCTGCCTGGGGCCGAGCACTGTGCCGCCTTGCTGTTCACACACACAGCCTAGGCACGGGGAATCTGAATAAATGTGAGGAATTTAAAATACAACTTTGGTAGATTTCTTCTTTCTGTTATTTTTAAATTGAATTTAGTGGGGTGACATTGCTTAATAAAATTATATAAGTTTCAGGGGTACAATTGTATTGTGTGTTCACCACCCCAAGTCAAGTCTCCTTCCATCACCATTTACCCCCCTTTACCCTCTTCAATCCCCCCATAGGTTTTTTTTTTGTTGTTTTGTTTTTTTTTTAAATACAAAGGCTGTTCTAGTTCATATTTATAGAATGATTTGGAAAATATAAACAAGCACAAATGAAAAATTGAAATCAGATACAATCTCAATTTTGATAATATGTAGATACCATTAGAAATGTGAATGTTATATACACTGTTTGGTGTTGTTCCACAGAAATATATCAAAGACTTCACTCCTCTTTTCTCTTTTTAATGTAGTTTAGAAAGGCAGCATTATAGTCCATAGTATGAATAAGCCATACTTTTTTAGTTGGTTCTTCAAAGTGCATTTGGGATTTTTGCTATTACACAAATGCAGTGATGAACCTCCTCATCCACTAGGCATCACAGTCCCCGGTCAGGTCATTGCCTTGAACTAGATTCCCAGAAGCAGAATTGATAATAATACTAGCAGTTCAAGGACTTTGCTGAGCCAGGGTGGGGCTTTGGAGCTAGTGGTGTGAGGACAAATAGTCCTTGGAAAAACTCTGAGGGGACCCTCTGGGAGACTTGGGAAGATAGCCTCAGGGTTTATAGGTCAGCAGTTAAAGCTGAATTCCTGAATTCTACGCCCTCAACCCCCCCCCCCCCCCTCTCCTGGCCTCCTCCCACTATTTTCATCACTGCAGGGAGGAAGCAGGGGAGGGAGGAGGAGGTGGGAAGGGAGGGAGAGAGAACTCAGCTTGTACCTGTACTAGTATGTATTTCTAATATTTTGCCTTAAAAATATCTTGAATGAACTTTCTTATGCAAAAGGCAGATTACTCCCCCCCCCCCCCCCCGGGGCCCCCAACACACACACAAAAGACAGATGTAAGTGACAAGTGGAATTTTCTGTGATTTTGAGAGAAGTTAACTTTAAAAGCAGACAGGCAGGCAGTGCAGGGGTTCAATGGGACACAAGGCAGATGGGACATAGGCAGGAGCAGACATGAAGTTTGAGCAGCCTAATCACAGGAAGCAATCAAGCAGAAATAATGAAATGTTTCTGGACTCAAAGCAGGAGGCATGGGAATCTAGGGAGAGCCTGCAGCAACAAAGTTCAGGACTGTTGCTGGGCAAGGACAACGAGGGAATCAATCAGGTGGTGACACAGGTGTCCATAGAGCAGGCTTGTCACACACACACACACACACACACACACACACACACACACACACACCTCTGGACTACAAAGCTACACGGGCAGCCCATTATTGGGCCCCCTTTCCCATGAAGGGAGTCTAAATCTGCTTGTAATAAATTTTCCACACTTTATTTTTTCATTTTTTAAAATATATTTTATTGATTTTTTTTACAGAGAGGAAGAAAGAGGGATAGAGAGTTAGAAACATTGATGAGAATCATCAATCAGCTGCCTCTTGCACACCCCATACTGGGGATGTGCCTGCAACCAAGGTACATGCCCTTGACCAGAATCGAACCTGGGACCTTTCAGTCTGCAGGCTGACACTCTATCCACTGAGCCAAACCGGTTTTGGCAATTTCCCACACTTTAGTTTAAATCTTCTGGTCCATGGATCTCATTCTTCTGCTTCCCAAGGCACAACCCCAGGGGAAAAACCTCCGCTCACAGTTCTGGTTATCAATTTCCTCAAGTTCTTGTATTTTCTCCTTCCTTCCTTCTTCCTTCCTTCCTTCCTTCCTTCCTTCCTTCCTTCCTTCCTTCCTTCCTTCCTTCCTTCCTTCCTTCCTTCCTTCCTTCCTTCCTCCTTCCCTCTTTCCCTCCTTCCTTAATCCTCATTGAGGTTATATTTTTATTGATTTTGGAGAAGAAGGGAGAGAGAGACATTGATGTGAGAGAAACAACAGTTGTATGGACTGCTGGCAAAGTTCTTGGTGAGGTACATCTGAGGATAAAAAAGGATTCTAGGGAAAGTAACCTCATGGATCATAGATTCCTGACTGGGCAGGTGTGGGTGGGTAGTCATATCCCAGACATTTTACTTCTTTAGTAAAAGGTTTATCTCTGCCTTAAGCATGCACTGCCCATTGTTTCTGTGCATCTAGGTGAGCACACCTTTGAAATGCCTCTTTAAGATCCCTCCTCTAAAACTGACCACTCTAGAGAGAATATATCAATCTTGTTAACTATCCTGTTATCCAATCCCTGCCTTGTCTTCTTCCACCTTCATATAATCTTCCTTATGTTCCCTCAAATTTCAAATGCATAAAAGATAGTGCAAAACTGTAGATCTCTGGAGCATTTCAGATCTTGCTTCCCTGCAAGGGTCCTCTGTTTGGGCCCACATAAAATCTTCTAAAATTCCCCACAGGCTTAGACATTTCTTATGCCAACAATCTGTACCTAGGTCAGTGTTTATTTTTATTTTATTTTTTAAATCCTCATCTGAGGATATTTTCCCATTGGTTTTAGAGAAAGTGGAAGAGAGAGGGAAAGACAGAGAGAAATATCGATGTGAGAGAAACACATTGATTGGTTGCTTCCTACACACACCCTGACCAGGGCCCCGGCCAAGGAGAAGCCTGTAACCAAGGTACGTGTCCTTGGCAGAAATTGAATCCAGGACCCTTTGGTTAGCAGGTCAACGCTCTATTCACTGAGCCAAACCAGCTAGGGCTGTTTGTGTGTGTGTTTTGTTTTGTTTTGTTTTTAAATTTTATTTATATTGATTATATATAGAGAGAAATAGAGAGAAACATCAATTTGTTGTTCCACTTATGTATGTATTCATTGGTTGATTCTTGTATATGCCCTGATGGGAAATCAAACCTGTAACTTTGGTGTGTTAGGATGATGTTCTAACCAACTGAGCTACCTGGCCAGGGCCAGTGTTGTTTTAATAGATACAAAGTGCTTTGTCAGGCCTATGATTGACTAGCCCATGTGTGTCCTATATATTATAGTAAGCTACATGGAGTCATTCCAGTACAGGGTCACTTCAGTGGTGACATGAGGGTTCCATGCTTCTGAGCTATGCAGTGGGTGAGCGAGTGAAGAGGGTCTGAACACTCAGAAAGAATAAGCATGGGATGAACTTGGGATGAGGACTTGATGGTCCATGGAAGATGGGTGGGGGCGAGGCTGGTCCTGGAGGACATGCTCTGGCATGACAGCAGCCAATGGATAATATGAGGAGCGTAAAACTGTCACTTAGAGAATGCCTGCCTACGGAGTCATATTCACAGACTTCATCTTATTCTTTAGCAGCCCTGTGAGAAAGGTACTGTATTCATTTCCATTTTATAAAAGAGGAAACTGAGACTCAGAGGGGGTGAGAGATAGCAAGAACCCTGTGGAACTGGGATCCACTTTCAGGGCCCTCTGCTCTGCACTCGAAGCCATGATGTGGTTACAGATGAGCCGAGCTCCTGTCCTGATTGCACAGGGTCTTTGAGGCTCTCCTCGATTCCTTATATCTTAGCCCTTCTCCTCCTTCCAGGGAGAAGCTTGGCAACATGGAGTCTGTTTTTATCATTGACCCTGAAGATGTGGCCCTGCTCTTTAAGTTTGAGGGTTCCACCCCAGAGCGATATTGTATCCCGCCCTGGGTCGCCTATCACCAGCATTACCAGAGACCCATCGGGGTCCTGTTCAAGTGAGTCTGGGGACAGAAGCTGGGGAGAGGGGCTGGGACGATGCTTGCTCTGTGCTGTCTGGTTGGGAACTCGAGGCACATCCCTGTCATCTTCCTACCTCCATGAAACAGATGGTAATGGTACTGAACTGCTGTGCCCACCAGCAAGGAAAGGGTCAGGCTGAAGATCTGAATGAGTAATTAAAGAACCTTGCAAAGTTCTCATTTATTAGTTCATTAAATCCCATCTTATTGAGAACCTACTATGTGCCAGACTTTGTGCCAGGCTCTGGGCTTTTAGCGACGTGTAAGGCAGGGCCCTGCCACTGTGCGTTCCTCACAGTCTAAGAGGGCAGTGAAACAGGACAAACCAGTGTATTTAGTGTAGTGGGTACCATTTCCCACCAAATTCCTCATCACAAATTTAAAACGACCATATCAAACGTTGGTGAGGATATGGAGCAACTAGAACTCTCCCAGATTGCTAGTGGGATGAAAACTGGTGCCAGCACTTTGAGATGATTGGCCATGACCTGCAATTGAATACACACAGCCTATGATGCAGCTGTCCTACTCTCAGGGATATATTTTAAAGAACATCCCTGAGGGGAAGGTAGCAGAATGTTGGCAACAGTGTCATTCATAAGCACAAAACCCAGGAAACCACCTGAACGCCAAACAGGAGTTTAAATTAGTGAGTGGTGGCATATGCCACTCATTATGAACAAACTCAGTGACAACCCCCCCCCCCCAACAGTGCAGATGATACTGAGACATATGAAATTTTGTCAAAAAAGCAAATCTCCCAAGGCATGTCAAGAAAGCATGTTTTAGAATTATATGTAGATCAGGTGAAGCTATACACAAAGCAAGCGAATCAGGTTGGAGGTCCCCTTAGTTGGGGAGGACCAGGTGGACACATAGAAGTTACTGTGATGTTCTTTGTTTCTTATTGGGTGGTGAGTTTATAAACCATTGTTGTAAACAAACAAAGCCTCCAAACTAGAGAGAGGGCTTTGCATGGATCTACTTTCAAGAGTGAACCATAAGCTGAGGCTTATCACTGACCCTATTCTGGGCATGTGACAGTCCCCACCAACGTGAATAAAGGGACATGCTAGGGTGCAGCAGAGAGGTTGATCAATTATGTCTGTGCAGGGGTCAGAGAGGATGACATACAGGAGCCCTTAAAAGGCAAGAGGAAGGAAAAGTGATGGAAAAGGCATACCTGTAGCTGAGGCAAAGATGAGGCAAAGACTAGGGCACTGAAAGAGACATAAAGGCTCCAAGATGCTCAGTTCCTACCTCGCAGCAGCAGCAGGAAGGGCTGGGGTCAGGTTTTGTTTTCCTTCATTCACTTTCTTCCTGTCTCTTCCTTTTTTTTTTTTTTTTTAAATATATATATATTTTATTGATTTTTTCTTACAGAGAGGAAGGGAGAGAGCTAGAGAACTAGAAACGTTGATGAGAGAGAAACATCGACCAGCTGCCTCTTGCACACCCCCCACCGGAGATGTGCCGGCAACCAACGTACATGCCCCTGACCGGAATTGAACCTGGGACCTTTCAGTCCACAGAACAACGCTCTACCACTGAGCCAAACCGGTTTCAGCCTGTCTCTTCCTTAAGGCCCAACAGAAATAGGGAGCAGAGGGTGTTGGGAGGAGTGAGGGCTGGCACACATGAGTGCTGGACTCTGAGCTGTGACTTGGCCTCCTGGGAGAGCTCGTCTGTGTGTGCAAGCCTGGGATTTGTGGCCATGAGGGCCCAAAGGGCCTGTGTTTTCACAGGAAGTCAGGAGCCTGGAAGAAAGACCGACTGGCCCTGAACCAGGAGGTGATGACACCAGATGCCATGAAAAACTTCATCCCCCTGCTGGACACGGTGTCCCAGGACTTCATCAGCATCCTGCACAGGCGCATCAAGCAGCAGGGCTCTGGAAAGTTCTCAGGGGACATCAGTGATGACCTGTTTCGCTTTGCTTTTGAGTGTAAGGGGGTGGGAGAACCCAGCGTCCCACCTTGAGACCCAGCCAGCATAGACCCTGAAGAAGTGGTGGAATTGGTTTTTGGGATGGGCTACTGAAAACATTTTCTGCCATTTTACCCAGGGGATGCTGAACACTCTTATCTAGCATTTATACTATGGGGGCAAGGGTCTCCACAGTTTAGGTCCCCATTGTCACTACCCTCTAAAAGACAGAGTATGGCTCAGCCCTGCATTCTGCAAATCTCTCTCTTGGGCCTTTGAGGTCTTAGAGGGGAAGGGAGGATTGGGTGGTTAATCTGAATTGGGTATTCAAGAAGGTATAGCAGTTATTCAGATAGGGTAAGGAGGTTGGGCAGTCTGGGTAGAGGGAACAGCCCATACAAAGGCCCTGTGGCATGATGACAGTCATGTGATCACTGCAGGAGATCTGGGATGCCCAGAGTTTGGTATAAAATCAGCATTCACATTTCTGACCCCATAGGTGGGAAAAACTAGGGGTTGTTGTGACTTCTTTTTTTTTTTTTTAAAAAATCTATTTTTTATTGATTTTATACAGAGAGGAAGAGAGAGGGATAGAGAGTTAGAAACATCGATGAGAGAGAATCATCTATCAGCTGCCTCTTGCACACCCCCTACTGGGGATGTGGCAGCAACCAAGGTACATGCCCTTGACCGGAATCTAACCCTTCAGTCCCCAAGCCAACGCTCTATCCACTGAGCCAAACTGGTCTCGGCATGTTGTGACTTCTTAAGTCTAGCCAAGGTGGTTCTTGTATGGCCAATTACTAGGGCTTTATGTCTTCTAGTCTTCCATCTGGCCTGAAACAGGAAGTATTTCGCCAATTTGGTTAATTACAGCTAAAGAATCTCTCTTCCTGGACAAAAGCCCAGCACCTGCTTGGGTGCTAGTGGAAGGGTGGATGGAATTGTTTCATCCCAGCCTGGGCCCACTCCCGGCTATGCTGGAGACTGCTTCCCACCCAAGTGATCCCTTTTCAGGGTCTTCTGCTTGCTCCCTGAGTGGTTATCAGAGGGCAGTTTTCCTCAGTCCTAAAATTGCAGCCCCATAGCCTCAGTTTCTGTTTCTTTACTGAAGGAGATGGAGATCGGGTCAGGAGGTCCTATGTGTTGGCAGGAGTGGGTTGGTGGGGGTTCCTGGGAGCAGAGTCTCCTCAGCTTGTACTTATCCCCGCAGCCATCACCAACGTCATATTTGGGGAACGTTTGGGGATGTTGGAGGAGATTGTGGACCCTGAGGCTCAGCGTTTCATTGATGCTGTTTACCAGATGTTCCAAACCAGTGTCCCCATGCTCATGCTTCCTCCAGGCCTGTTTCGTCTGTTCAGGACCAAGACATGGCGTGACCATGTGGCTGCATGGGATGTGATTTTCAGTAAAGGTGAGGATTCCTCTGGCTATGCCCTGGGCAGCTAGGAGAGCCTTATCTACCTCAGGGGGAGGGAAACCCAGGTTTGGGTGGACACACACACACACACACACACACACACACACAGCCAGAAGCCCCAAGTCTCGGCCTGCTTCTTTGCCCCAGTTATGTCAATGGACACTGACTTGCTATGTGGGTAGGGATGGGTATCAGGGAGGTCCTATAAGCCCTGGGATTGGTGAGTTGAAGGCCAGCTGTTGGGAATGATCAGATCTTTATGGAGAAAGAAGATCTAGATGTCCATCATGTTCTTCTAAGGAGCCCATGATCACCAACATAGATTAAGGCTAATGTTTTAGACCCGGCTATACTTGGGGACAGACTGGGACTTGGGTGAGGGAAATTAGTAAAGTAGGGTGGAGAAGGCTAATTGGAATATGGTGATGATGTGAGACCTGGAGTCAAATCCCTTCTCTGCTCCTGACACCCATCTAACCCTGGGCAAGTCACTATCCTCTGTGGGCTTCTGTTTTCTTACCTGTAAAATGGTGATAATATCTCTTACTCAATAGTACTATGGTCAAGAATTAAACAAAGAAACAGATAGGAAGGGCTTAGCAGATAGTATGTGCTCAGTAAAATGCAGCTAGAAAGTGCACCACTTCAGCATCTCCAAGCCCTTGGCCCATCCCTCTCACCAAGGGTCCATCCCTTCACTTCTGCCTGTAGAGAGCCTCACTCTTTCCCCCCCCTCCTGCCCATCCACAGCTGAAAAATACACCCAGAACTTCTACTTGGACTTGAGACAGAAAAGAGACTTCAGTAATTACCCAGGTGTCCTCTACCGCCTCCTGGAAAATAACAAGCTGCTTTTCGAGGACGTCAAGGCCAACATTACAGAGATGTTGGCAGGGGGCGTGGACACGGTGAGGTGATCGTAGGGGTATACTCTGTCCCTTCCTGTGTCTGTGTCCCTTCTCCACCAGTTTGCATCATTCAAAACCTTGTCCATGTGGGGTAGATCTCCTTCTCTTGATTTTATTTTCTAAATAACCATCTCCTAGGAGGCTGAGGTCAAGTCATCTCTTGAGGCTGATCCAACATTTTTTTAACCTATGAGAAGGGAGAAACTAGGCATAGGTGGTGAGCCCTTCAGTCATAGATCAGGACACAGCTCACTGGATTCAGAAAGGCAGGCAGGACCTCAGAAAAGCTGGGAGCCAGTGGAATTAGCCCTGGGCTCTGCCTTCTAGAATCCTTTTGTTGTCTTCCATTCTCCCCCACATATTAGTTTGCTAGGGCTGCACACAAAGTACCACACACACAATGGCTTGAACAACAGACATGTACTTTTCTCACAGTTCTAGAACTAGAAGTCCAAGATCAAGGTGTCAGCAGGGTTGGTTTCTTCTGAGGCTCCTCTTCTCCCTTATGTCTTCGCACAGTAATCCCTCTGTGTGTGTGTGTCAGTGTCCTGATCTCTTCTTATAAGGACATCAGTCCTATTAGATTAGGGTTTACCCCAGTGATCTCATTTTACTTTATTACCTCTTTAAAAACATTGCAACCAAATACAGTCACATTGTGAGGTATTGGGGGTTAGGGCTTCAACATATGAATTTGGGGGAACACAATTTATCCCATGACAAGGATGGCCACCATACCATAGTCATAAGGTTGGATGAGTAGGCCTGGATTGGGCACTGACAATGCTAAGAGGCCCTGCAGGATGGGGAGAGGCCCCTTAAAGGAGCTAAAATTCAACTTGTGTCTTGAAGGCTGTTGCCAGGAGGAGGAAGGGAAAATAACATTTCGGGACAAGAGAGAAGATATATGTGTCAAGTCCCCTGGGTGAATAACTTTATTTCCTAGGTATCTTATTTACATCGTGCTCTATCAACCCAAATCACTATGCTCAATTAATGGAAGACTTTCAGTCCCAGTGACAGGCTGCAGATGGACCCTTTGAGTTTATTTTATTTAAAAAAACATATCTATTTATTGATTTCAGAGAGGAAGGAAGAAGGAGAAACAGAAGCATCAATGATGAGAGAGAGAATTATTGATGGGCTGCCTCCTGCACACCTCCTGCTGGGGATCAAGCCCGCAACCTGGGCATGTGCCCTTGTCTAGAATCAAACCTGGGACCCTTTAGTCCGCAGGCTGATGCTCTAGCCACAGAGCCAAACCGGCTAGGGCTAAGTTTATTTTAAATCTAGTTCTTGTCAGTTATGTAGAAGGGATCTCCAAAAAGTGCTTACCTGAACCAAAACAGCTATTATTGTTAGGTAATGTTTATTGGGCATGCACTATATGGTAGGCAGGACCTAAGCTTTTCATATGTATTAATTCAGTACGTGCTCACAAACTAAATTATGAGGAATGTTACTATTATCCCCCTTTTCAAATGAGGAAATTGGGGCACAGAGAGATTAACACACAAGTATTTTCTGAGTAGCCACCCTGTCCAGCTTTGGAAATAGTGAGACAAATACACAGATTTGATTCAAGCCTTAAAGGCCTACAGACTGGCTTCCATGGTTGGGAAGGGAATTGTAGGAAGAGGGAACAGCCGGAGGAAGATTTCTGGGCTTCAGGAGCTGCATGTAGCTCAGTGCAGCTAGGGTATTAGGTACATGTTGGAGAGAAGTGATGGCGAGGCTGGGAGCAGCAGGCAGGTGTTGAGTACTCTGTACTTGATCTGGACTTATTCTGGGGGATCTGGGCTTGATCTGGGGAGTCAGACAAGGATTTCCAACTGGGAAGTGACTGGATGCCATGCTTTCATGATTGCTCCTGCTGGGAGGAAGGAGTGTTCCGACTTTTTGGACAAAAATATGATTCTTGGTAAGTTATGTGCAACAACCCATGCCCTAATTATAGGAGGGAGGGCTGTACCAACCTGGGGTCCCACCACAAAGGTAGGGACTTGATGAGGGTCACTCACTCATACCTCCAGGGATGGGCAAATGGTCATGACACTGACTAACAATGAGATTAGCAGGTTCATCTTAGTATAACCATATGCTAATTGCAACACAGATAGGAACCAGAGTGGTGGTTCTGGCTTCATTATCTGAGCCTTCTTTCCCACTTCACTACTATAGGCAAATGCTAAATTTTGTGAAGTTCTACTGAGGAGACACTGCTTGTTTAACAGGCATTTCAGCAGGAATGGCAGTTAGTCAGGGAGAACTGTTACAGAAGGGGGCTTTGGCCTCTGAGGGCTCCAGAGTCCTTTGGAAGAAGGCCTTGGTTGTGTGGGTTCTCTCTACTGGCTGGGGAGGCTCTGGTGACATGAGGGATGAGGGTAGGGACAAGTGGTACCCCAAACATTCCTGCCTGGGCTGGAGAAAGCCTCTGGCACATTTGTCTTTTGAATTGGACTTTGCTTTTGTAGATGATGGTCTCTGGATACTGGGACAAGTATCCAGAGACCATGTTCTTGGAAGATGTTCTTGGAAATAAAAATGTAGCACAAGCCTAGGTGCCTCAGGAGTGACAGGTCCTCCTGGTCTTCTGCATCCTGACACTCCCTCCCAGACGTCCATGACACTGCAGTGGCATTTGTACGAGATGGCACGCAGCCTGAGAGTGCAGGAGATGCTGCGGGAGGAGGTTCTGGCTGCCCGGCGCCAGGCTGGGGAAGACATGAGCAGGATGCTGCAGTTGGTCCCGCTTCTAAAAGCTAGCATCAAGGAGACACTGAGGCAAGCTCACACCCACCCATGCCTGCCTCCTTCCCAATCCTGGCCAGGTTCAGCATGGTGCCTGGGGACTGGTGGAGATTGGTAGCAGAAAGTGAGAAGTCTGAGAAGACAGCTGGGAATGGGGAGGAGGGAAGAGAGTCCTGATCTTGCCTCCAGATTCCCCAGGGTGCTGCCACTGGGCCTGAGATGCATGCTGGGTGTGGGGCTTTGGGGCTTTGTCCTGGCCTCAGGGCATTAGCTTCTGAATGCCTTCCTCCGGCAGACTCCACCCCATCTCTGTGACTCTGCAGAGATACCTCGCAAACGACTTGGTTCTTCAAGATTACATGATTCCTGCCAAGGTAGGTACAGCAGGGCTGTAGGACCTGCCACTTAGACAGGAGGTTGGGGTCTGACTACAGTTGCCTACAGATGGGGGCTTCTGCCTGTGTTCCTGGAGCTGCCTGATGGGTCCTTGGCAGCAGCAAAGTTTGAAGAACAAACTTGTTAGGCATAGTGGGTGATCCCTGGAATGTTGCTGGAGCCCAGAGTTAGGAGGGAAACCCCATGGGTCACCTGGGTCTTCTGGTGCTGAGGAAAGGGAAGGACAATCCCTTGGGCCATCCCTGGCCTACTGGCTTCAGTCATGCTCCTTTGATGGGTGAAGCTCAGGGAGAAGGGGGGTCTTGTTCAAGGTCATCCAGTGGGCAGTGTCTTCTGGACAGCTGGGAAGCTGGGCTGGGGAGTGGGGTGGGGAAGCTGGGTTATGCTCCTGGCTGTGAGGAGGTGAGGCCTACTTAGGCCTCTGCTCACCTTGTCCCCAGACATTGGTGCAGGTGGCCGTCTATGCCATGGGTCAAGACCCCACCTTCTTCCTCAATCCGGGCAAATTTGACCCCACCCGATGGCTGGGTAAAAACAAGGACCTCATCCACTTCCGGAACCTGGGCTTTGGCTGGGGTATTCGGCAGTGTGTGGGTCGCAGGATCGCCGAGCTTGAGATGACACTCTTCCTTATCCATGTGAGTCTGCCTGGGGACCTCTGGGCACCCTGGGCTGGCTTTGGCCTTAACGAAAGCACCATCCCTTCTACTCCCATCTCTGTTCAGAACCCTCCCCAACAATTCCCTTCTGCCTCCTCTTTTAGGCTAATATACTTGTCACCAATTGGTGCCCCTGGCCATGTGTCCACCATGCTGGTGATGGGATGGGGGTAGGGTGGGATAAGGTTCTTTAGAAACTGAAGCAAAAGCCTGAATCAAGGGAACAGCACTATTGGTGTGTTCTCAGGTTACATAGTAGCTGGTGTGGACCCCTTAGAGCTCCCCAAATCCCACTCAATAGGCATTGCCTACAGGTGAATGAGTCTGGCCCGGGGGGATGGATTCTCCCCACCTGTCACTAAGTCCATCACCCCTCCTTCTCAGATTCTGGAGAACTTCAGAGTTGAAATCCAGCATCTCAATGATGTGGGCACAACATTCAACCTCATCCTGATGCCCGACCAGCCCATTTTCTTCACTTTCCGGCCCTTCACCCCGGACCTGCCCAAGGCTTGACTGAGAGAGTGGTGTGAAAGGAAGGCCTGAGGGATGGGGCAGGGGCCCATGGAGGTGTCTGCATCCTGAGCTCCTGGTTCCCCACCCCTGCTCCTTTATGCCCCAACTCAGTGGAGGCACTTCTCTTTTACCCACCTCTTCCCCTAGTTCCACACTCCATGAAAGCAATAAAGGGCTGAACTACGTGAAGTGTTTTCATTTCCCTCTGGCCCCTAAGGGATCACTCCTGTGGAGATGCTCTCTGATGGATCAACAGTTGGATCTGAGCACAAATGGGCAGCCACACCTGAAGCCATTTCTGCTGGGATCCACCTACCTACAGCTCAGGAGCCAGCAGGATCAAGCCTCCTGCTTCCTGGGTCTGAGAGCAGATGGAGGGCTATTGCTACTGTGCCCAGGCCAGCAGGCAGAGGGACAGAGGACCTGATGGAGCTCTGCTGAGAGAACAGGGCATCTGGGGCAGACCCACCTATCAGAGGCGAGGCTAGTGCAGTGCTTTGCTTGGCTGAACTTTGGGTTGGAGTTCCAGGTGGGGCATGAAGACTTCCTGCCAAGGTCCAGCCAGAGACTTGGGCATGACCAGGGCTGAGGCCTGTGGGTAAGGGGCTAGTATGAGGTGGCTGACTCTGGGGATAGAAGGCCAGTATGCTTCCTCTGCCCCACCTGACCCTTCTCTGGCTTTTCTAGGCCTCAAATTTCTGCTCTAGGGGAACATGCCCACTTTTCTAAGCTCTGGGCTGTAGGCAGGGAGACTGCAGCAGAATCTTTGGTCCATTATTTGAACTGATCCCAATTTTAGCCCCCCTCACCCCTTCTGAGTTCCATAACTTCTGATCTGAACCAGGTGCTTGATACTTTCTGGTCCTTGACTACCCAAATCTAAGTCCTGCTGGCAGTCAGGGAAGCTAGTCCTATTTGGGACAGCAGCCTAGTTAGCTTGAAGCCTTTTATAGTGGACTCTGTAGGTTCTGAGTCCATTGTTAAAGTCTTTCTGCTTTTCCCCATCACAATACTCTTTATTGTCTCTCTCCTTCCTTTCTCTTCTCCTGGTTTGAGTCATCTTTGACTCAGAAATGTTAGAGCTGGAAAGGGTCTTACTATCAGAGAGGTCAAGCTCTGCATGGGATAGATAGGGAAACTGAAGCCTAGAGAGGTTGCCTGAGTCACCCAAGGGCACATTGCATGCTCTTAGCTAGAACCCAGGGCTTCTTTCTGTGGAGGACTCCTTCCTTTAGTCCCATCTGCTTTCCTGTCCCTGGCTACAGTGACGGGACGTTTCACACTATTATAACTGATTGCCACAGGCAGACTTCAAGTGTCTCCCTTCCCAAGAAACAGGTAAACTAGACTTGAAGGAATTTTATTATGGTAGATGTTTGGGAGCTGGTGGAAATCCCACCCTCCATCACATCACCTAACAGAGTTGGTCTCTGGTGGTCTCACTTCTTCCAAAAGCCTGGAAGGAGTTTGTTTCTATGGCTTCACTGTTGGAGCCTTTCTGCTTTGGAAGGACTTTTCTCCCTACCCTCCTGGGTCCACCATGGCCTTCAGCTCTCCAAAGATGGAAGGCAGGAGACTATTTCACTGCAGCAGAGGGCCCAGGCCCAGAATGAGGTCTGGGAGAAGAATCTGGGTACCTCCAGCCTGCCCTGACCCAGGAAAGAGGCAAATGCTCACTGACTTACAGATTTAATGAAGTCATTTTGAGGTTGTGGTAAAAAACCCCAGCACATAATGAGGGAGCTGCTCCAGTTCTCAGGTCTGCTAGGAGTTTGAGGGCTTGATGAACTTCGTCTCTGAGCTGGGCAGCAAGGGGCCCCCTTTTGAGGGTTGCTTATAGTCCTTGGCTTGGGTTGAGGAATTCTGCAATTGTGCAAAGCAAGATGAAGTGAGTTTGCCCTTGCCTCGAGGAGCACGGGGCCCATTGAAATGCAGCTTGCCTGGCAAGCCATGTCTTAGAGGGCCATGACTTCCCAAAGATTTTCAAACTCATTTAACCATAGAGATTGTATCCAATTTCTCTGGGGCCCAGCAGGTGAATTTGCACAGGAATCCCTATGTTCCCTGTCAGTTCCCCATCTTCTTCAGACATGACCAAGAGCCTGGAATTGAGCTGAGTACTAATGGCTCAAGAGCAGGAGCAATCAGAGGTTTTGCTCTGGGGGCTGGGTGGCCCAGGCTGATCTTGAGGCACAGTTGTGAGCAGGTCTATTAGTTTTTAAGAAACCGCAATGTTTCTGGCAACATGCTCCTATCCCTGGCAGGTCTGGAGCATTGCAGTTGCCCAAGAAAGGTGTGCTCACAGGACAATCTTAGGCACTACGGCGTTGGGTGGTGGCCATGTGTACTTTGCTCATGAGCAAATCAGTCCTAAAGTATAGCCAGTCCCAGAGCACTCCAGGAGTCTTTTGGTTCTCACCATCACCATGGGGGAGGGGTAGTTCTGACAAAGTTTTCTATTCCCTTAGAGTCTTAGTCCCTAAGGCTTAGACAGGTGAGGAATTGAGACAAGGCCAGGGCTTCTTCTGTTGGTAATAGAGTAGAAGCTGAGCCTATGTCCTCTGAATTCCAGCTAAGGTGCTGGCTCCCCTGGACAGTTTTTTTCAAGGCCCAGTGACTCCGGGGAGAAGTTGCCAGCTCTACCGCCCGAACCCCAGGGAGCTCTTCCAGAGGGTTCACTCACAGGCAGGTCTGCGAAGATGGAGTTTGAAGGGTGACCCAAGCCGTTCTCTTGTGCCTGCAGCTGTGTGGCCAAGACCTGCTTCTCTCGTCCCCAGCATCGAGCTGAGTCCTCTAACTGCCACCATGGAAAGGACAGATGGGGTACCTCTAAGTAGCAGGGCCCATCCCTGAGATCTGAGACAACCAGAGCTTGAGCCTGTTCTCTGGCAGAAAGCAAAACCCTGGGCAATTTGAGCTTGCTGCTTCCCCAAGAGACCTTGGGTGGCAGGGCTGGGAAGAGAAGGCCAAGTCATTCTGACTAAGACACAGATGGATCTTCTTTGAGTTCCAATAGCATACTGAACCCTGACTCTGAGTCCACACTGATTCTTGACTCTGGTCATAGATTGAGCCTGGCTCACACACTGATCCCCAACCCTGGTCATGGGCCAAGTGGTGAGCTTGCCCAGTCTGACCAACTCCTTTGCCTCACCTACCTGGTTTTCCAGGGATAGGATCCGGTTATAAACTTGTTCCAGTTTGGCCAGGAGGTTAATCTTGTCTGAAGTGTTGCTAAGAAGATCCTGTGGGCAAAGCAGAAACTCACATATGGCTCCAGCTGAGGCCAAACTCAGCTCTCTGATGTAGAGCCTCAGACAAGGGCTAAAGCCTCTTTTTGAAGTTCAGACCTGATATGGCATGTACTTTTTTCACAGCTGTTCTTCCCACAGATTTTGGATATATGGTTTTTGCCCATCAATTTTATTATTATTTATTATTATTTAAAAATATATTTTATGATTTTTTACAGAGAGGAAGGGAGAAGGATAGAGAGCTAGAAACATCGATGAGAGAGAAACATCGACCAGCTGCCTCCTGCACACCCCCTGCTGGGTATGTGCCCGCAACCAATGTACATGCCCTTGACCGGAACCAAACCTGGGACCTTTCAGTCCGTAGACTGACGCTCTATCTACTGAGCACAAACTGATTTTGGCTATTATTTATTATTTTTAATCCTCATCTGAGGATATATTTTTTATTGATTTTAGAGCGAGGAAAGGAAAGAGAGAAATAAAGAAAGAGAAAGAGAGAGAGAGAAACAGAGAGAGAGAGATTGGTTGCTTCCATTACATACCCCGATTGGAGATCAAACTCACAACCTAGCCATGTGCTCTGACTGGGAATCAGTGCACAGGATGATGCTCCAGCCAACTGAGCCACATTGGCCAGGGTTGCATATCAATTTTTAAATGTAAAATGCATGAGGAAGTGCCCATTGGTGCATGGTTAGGAATCTTGAACTGGGAGTTTTTGTGAAGTGAAGAATCTGTGTCCCCAGCACTTTACCTGGATGTTCATGCATCAGGGATGCTTTCAGACAGAGCTCACTTCCTGTAATTTAAATGGCCTGTCATTGGGTTTGCATAAAGCAGGGCCCTTATAGCAGCTTCAAATGTGGAGTGAGGCCAGGGTATGGAGCCTGGGCACCCACATGAGGAGGCAGGGTTCTGTGTGCTTGGAGGGGCCTCTGCCATCTGTCTCTCAAAACCTCTTTCGCCAGGTCTCCTGCTCTTAACTCCCCAGGGTCCATCTGGGGCAGGGGAAAAGGATTCTCCAAGGCTGTACAAGTCCCAGGAAGTGCTTCAGACTCGAGTTTCTGAGAGGTCTGTGTGGAGTTCATGAGCAAGCCAGCCATGTGGCAAAAAGAGTCAGAGATCAAGGGCCAGTTAGGGGCTTGCTTTCTCCCAGGGTGCTAGGTAAGGGTCAAAGTGAAGCTTTCAGACCCATGTGTGTCCCCCCAGGAGAAAGAGCAAGGCCTGAGGACTGGCACTCCAGGAGACACCAGGCACATTAGAGACACTGGAAAACCTAGCTCCTGGTCTTAGTCTTTGACTTGGATTGCACTGGATGATGGCTGGGCACCTGCTGACATGGACAGGCAGACCCAGGCCGAGCTTGTGCTGGTGGCTCTTACCGGCAGGGCCTGCTGCTGCAGAATGATGGGGGCCGACTGGTGGCGGCTCTTATCCAGCTCTGCCCGCAGCCTCGAGTTTTCTGCCAGCAGCACTGAGTAAAGGTCAATAGGCAGTTTCTCTCCTGTAGGATCCTGGGGAAGTCCTGAGGCTGAGAGCATGGGGAAGACTGAAATGGCCACAGATGTTCATGAGGTGGGCTTTCCTGTCTCCATGTCCCTGGCCTGATCTGCTCCAGCATTTTGCTCCATTCTGCCCCTTCTCTGCTCCTTGGCTCCCCACTACCAGTGGGATCAGGTCCACACTCGTCAGGCCATTATTCTCAACTCTTTAGAATCTGGTCCCATCTTTCTCCCTAACCACTCCCCTGCCATTTGTCCTAGGTCTATTGTAGCTCTTCACCCTTCTCTCTTTCCTTCCTTCCTTCCTGCTTTTGCTATGGTAATTTCCTTTGTCCTGAAGTTGCCTTTTTGTTTCTCATCCTACTTCTGGATGACCTCAGATCCTGAAAGGAGAGCCCAACTTTCATTGTTTTCTGAAGGCCTTCAGAAGTGCATCCCCTACTTCCAGTCCCATGCAGTGAAGGCCAAATGCTGGCGGGCACACAGGGGTTTCTGGTGAGGCGGCCCAGACAGGCGCAGGGAAATCTGCTTGGGCTCGCCTGCGAGGGTGTGAATCTGTGGAGAAGCATCTGGGAGCAGAAGGGTGTGACCTGATTCTCTCTTGCTCACCAGAGCTACCTCTAAATGGCAATTCTAGGTGGCTTTGTTTTATATCAATGGAAAAAAACAATAATCGATTTAACCAAAGCATTTTGTTTGTTTTGTATAGAAGCAGATTCTGCAAATAGGGGAGATGAGGACATAATTTGAAAAATCCTGGAGTTAAGAAATCGGAGACTTTCCAGATAGCTCTTCTCTGCTACTCTGGTCTGCAGGGCGCTCCCCTACCTCTTTCTAGCCTGGCTCATACACTGTGTCCCGATGTATCCTGTGGGTTTTCTGGGAGAAGGGAGTGCCACCATCTGCACTCCCTGGAATAGGGGAGTACCACCATCTGCCACAATTGGGAGGAGCTCCTGGAACTGGGAAGCTCTGGGAAGGGAGGAACTCCAGGGCCTGGATGACTTGGGGAAGAGATCAGCTCACCCCTGTTGGGCTCTCCCTGCAGCTTGTTGGGCAGAGGCTTGCTCCTCTCTTGAAGTTTCTTCTTCAGCACCTCCTCCATCTTCTCAATCACCTGGGAAGCAGAGTACAGAGGCTGGGCAGGGCAGAGCTGGGCTTGCCTGGGGGTTCCACACAATTCCCTCCATGGCTGGCCCCTGGCAGTTCCCTCCCCCCTCCACCTGCCTTTTCCTGGTGTTGCACGCTTTCCTCCAGCGCCTTCATCTTCTGCAGCTTGTCCTGTTGCTGCTTTAGCAGAGCAGCCTGTGGCTGCTGAATCTGGTACAGAAGCAGCTCTTTCTCTCGATCATTCTTCTGATAGTGGTGGACAGGGACAAGAAGGAAGAAGGAGTGCCTGGGTTGTACCCTTGGCCTAGAGGGCTCACCCCAGCCCCTCTGCTGAGTTCTCCACTGTGCTGGCTCCCCTCCCTTTAGGCCCTTCCCCCTTCTGCTCCCAGACACTTCTCAACAGATTCCCACCCTCCCTCCTCATGCGCTGCCCCAGCTCACTCGAATCAGCTCATTCTGCAGATGCTGCACCTTGTCCCTCAGTTTCTTTATGTACAGCTCACTCAGCAGCAGTTTCTGCTTCATGGACCCTGGTGCTGGGGGCATGGGGAGAGAAGGCTCAGGCAGGAAGCATCTTCCAGCTCAAATCAGCACAGTTAGATGGTGAGGGCAGATGTCCATCAGGCCTGAGGCTTGAGACAGGACTGGATTCCCTATTTCCCACTATGGAGAGGGCCCAACTGGCTACTATCAAACCCTGGGAAAGGTTTCCCACCGCCCTGTCCCACAATTCAGAGCCAAGGCTCAGGCGGGCACCCAGACTCCCTTGGTGGCCTTTATGCCCTCACTCAGCTTCTGGATCTTGTCATCATTGTCCTGCTCCTCCTCCATTTCCTCCAGGGTCAGGCGACTCCTCAGCATGCGGTTTTCTGCCTCCAGGACCCTGGCCTGTTTCCGCAGCGACAGGATGTCCTCAGCCATCATCTGTATGGCCTGTCGGGAGCTGTTTATCTCCTGTGGATCCCAGTGCTCAGAGTTGAGCATCCAGCCCACATCTGCACCCACACTTAGGAGTTGCTGGGTCAACCCCAAGGCCTACGGACAGCATGCCCTCAACACTTAGCAATTCCTCCAAGGGGTGGTTATAATTTGGTCTGCACCATGTGAGAAGTTGCATTCAGGTTCTTTCCCAGGGTCACGCCTCTTCCTGTGATGACAGCTGGGGGGACCCAGGGCTCAGACACCAGGTGAAGAAAACTGTGAGTGATGGACCTGGAGTCAGGTTTCCAGGGCTACTTCTCTGGCTTCTCCCTGCTTCTTCTTTTCTTTTTTAATTCTTCTCCTTCCTCACGTCACTGAGAACATGGGGAACTCAGAAACACCACTGACTGCCACTTGGGAACTGACTGCAGGCACTAACACCCCGGACAGCTTAGGGATCAGGAAAGTAGGCCTGGGAGATCCAGCTCCAAGATCTGGGGCCAGGATGCCAGGCTCTGTTGTTAGGTTAAGAGAGTAACAAAAATCTTAATATCTGGGGTTCACTGAGCTTCACTATGTTCCAGGTGTCCTCACAACAAGCCTGTGAGGGTTGGCACTGTTATCATCCTCATTTTATCGGCAAGGAAACAAGGCCCAGATGGTTTTGTAACTTGATTAGTTACAAAACTGAGTAATACCCAGGACCAAAACAGAGATGGTCCAACCTGCATCACTACCATTTGTCCACCAACCAGATCTGAAATACCATGGCTGACATGTACACATAAGGAACTATTTGACATTGAAATTGGGACTCAAAAGAACAGAAAGGAACTCACTATAGACTGATACATTTGTTTCTTAGATAGCCATTAAGAGTTGTCTCAGTTTCGGTTCTTACAAGGCTATTTCTTGGATCACATGATCTTACACATCTAGAGGAAATAATGAACAACATAAACTGATGAACAAAAACAGACCCAGAGAAAGAGAAGCAACGATCAGACTCTCAAACCTCAGAGGGAAAATAGGGGAGGGTGGGGGTAAGGGGAAGAGATTAACCAAAGGACTTGTATGCATGCATATGGGCCTAGCCAGTGGCCATGGACAACAAGGGGGTGGGGGCATATGTGGGGAGGGGTTTGGGATGGGAATGGGGGGATGAAGACAACTATGTGATACCATAATCAATAAAACTAAAGCTGAAACCGGTTTGGCTCAGTGGATAGAGCGTTGGCCTGTGGACTGAAGGGTCCCGGGTTCGATTCCGGTCAAGGGCATGTGTCTTGGTTGCGGGCACAGTCCCGGTGGGAGGTGTGCAGAAGGCAGCTGGTCAATGATTCTCTCTCATCGATGTTTCTAACTCTCTACCCTCTCCCTTCCTCTCTGTAAAAAATCAATAAAATATATTTTAAAAAAAAACAAACAAAAAAACAAACAAACAAAAAAACGAGTGGCAGAGTCTAAGTCTGAAACCTGCGCTTCAGCCCACAGGCTCCAGTGGCACCTGAGTCTGTGTTCTAAGTGTTGTGCAATCCTACCATGAGGCTCCAACATGGAAACATCACAGTATGTTGAGAAGTGATGTAATAGGCTGCTAAAAAGAATTATCAGTGTGATCTCAATCTGGGAAAATTATTTATGCCTGACCTTATGTGTGCATAGGAGTATTACTAAGTTATATTTATGTGCATTAATTTCAGAATTAGAAAGTCCCTCTTGTTACTTAGAAAAAGTTTTATAAAGAGAGTTTCTTAAATCTAACCAACACAAGATATAACAGGGACCCGAAACATGAAGCCAGAAAGGTCCATAGAAGGGGAGGAGGGGGGTGCTCGTCTGGGGAAGGAGCGGATGAAGTCAGCAGGAATTTGTTAAGCCCTGGTTGGTTGGCCTCTCAGTGACTGTGGAGGACTTGCACGTGGAGGTGGGGCTCTGAAAATGGCTAGGGTCCTAAGTCTCCCAGAAGCAGAATTCTGTACCCAGTTTCCACCTAGGGCTCATGCTGACTGGGGATGAGGACTGGCTCCCAGCCACTGCCAACCACCAGCTGTTGGCTGGGCCACTGGCTTCTTGGTGAGGGGTTCCTGGACAGCAGGGGTTCATCAGACACCACTTGTCACCTGCTGCTGTCTAGTCTTTTGGCTGGATTCCCTCTAACCAGTGCCAGGGCCGGGCCCATTTCTCCAGCACCTGCTCCAGTCGAGTTCCAGGTCTCGGCTCCTCCAGATCTGCCCACATGGTGCCCTCAGACAGCCCATTAATTAGGAGCCAGCCCAGAGCCCACACAGGGCTTTGTGGTTGGGCCCCAGTCACAGCCCAGCTTGGCCATTGACTCACTGAGTGAGCTGAGACAGGCCCCTTCCTTATGAGCCTCAGATTCCTCAGACAGGATAAACACAGGTGCTGTAGAGCTCAGAGTCAGAGTGTATGGGGTGGCAAGCATAGGGCCTTGCCAGGGCAGGTAGGATCTGGAGGTATCCATTCCCATCCAATCCTATTTCTGTTCAGTGGCTGCTTTATCAGCAGGTCAGACCCCTTTCTCTTTTTCCTGGCTGCCTTATTCATCACTTTGGAGAATTGCTTGGATACTGGATACTATTAATGGTGAACACATGCAAACCTATGATATAGCAAATGTATTCCCGAGTATATACTCAATAAATATGCAAGTGTGAATGCATCTAGAAGAAGAGGTAAGAACATTGTTACCAGCCTTATTTGTAACTAGAGGCCCAGTGCATGAAATTCATGCATGGGGGGTGGGAGAGTGTCCTTCAGCCCAGCCTGCACCCTCTCCCATCTGGGCCCCCTCAAGGGATGTCTCACTGCCCATTTAGGCCTGATCCTGGTAGGGTTGAGCCTAAACGGGCAGTCTAACATCCCTCTCTGCTGGCTCCCAACTGCTTGCCTGTCTGCCTTCCTGATTGCCCCTAACCACTACTGCCTGCTAGCCTGATCACCCCTTAACCACTTCCCTGCCAGTCTGATTGATGCCTAACTGCTCCCCTGCCAGCCTGTTTTCCCCTAACTGCTCTCCCCTGCAGGCCTGGGTCCCCCCAACTGCCCTTTCCTGCAGGCCTGGTTGCCCACAACTTCCCTCCTCTGGACCCTCCCAACTTCCCTCCCCCGCTGTCCATCTTGTGACCACATGGGGGCAGCCATCTTGTGTGTTGGAATGACGATCAATTTGCATATTACTCTTTTATTAGATAGATTAGAGGCCTGGTGCATGGGTGGGAGCTTGCTGGTTTGCCCTGAAGGGTGACCTGGATCAGGGTGGGGGTTCCCTTGGGGCATAGGGCTGCTTAGGTGAGGGGCCTGTGGTAGTTTGCAGACTGTCCACACCCCCTGGTGACCCAAGCAGAGGCCCTGGTATCTGGGATTTATTTATCTTCTATAATTGAAACTTTGTAGCCTTATGTGGAGGCCAGGGCAGGCCAGGGCTGAGGAAACTTGGTTTCCTTAATTGCTGGGGGCAACTCAAGCCTCCTGCTCTCTCCAGCTTGGTGGCTGTCACCATTTTTGTTGGGATTTATTTATTTTCTATAATTGAAACTTTGTAGCCTTAAGTGGAGGTCAAGGCAGGTCAAGGCAGGTGGAACACAAGCCTCCTACTCTCTCTGTGGCTACGGCCATCTTGTTTGGGTTAATTTGCATGCTTGCTCCTGATTGACACAGAGGCATGGACAATTTGCATATTACTCTTTTATTAGATAGGATAACCCTCAACTGGACATGAAACAAATACCCCTCACAGTAGAATGGTGAGATAGTCATACAGTGGAATACCACACAGCAATAAAATGAGCCAACATCAGCTACATGCAACCACATGGAGAAATCTCTCAAATATAGCACACAAAAGATGTCAAACACAAAATACCTACTCTATGATTCCATGTAGATTTGGTTCAAAAATAGACAAACTCAGGCTATAAAGTTAGAAGTCAGGGTATGAGATCCATTTGGGGAGGTGATTGAGAAGTACCAGGGAGCTTTGAGGGTGCTGGCAATGTTGTTGCTCTTGACCTTCATTGAACATTTACTATGCAGTTTGTAATAATTCAACACAGCGAATACACCTATGTTTTTTGTGCATTTGTCTGAATGTGTGCTGTACTTCACATAAACAAATTAAAAACATTTAATGAATTAAAAAATAAATGAAATCCTGGCTCAAGTTTGGTGGAATACATGAAGCCTCCACACAGCAGTCCTTCTCTGGGAACCCTCTTAACTCTTCACAACAATGGGCTCTTCTCAGCTCTGAGCAGTGAATGATTCTCTGAATCCTGTTCTTGGGCCCTCACTGCATCCTCTGTACCCTGAGAGGCCTTCTCCCAGTTTGATTCTGGGAGGCTGGGTGGATTCAGTGATGGATCCTGGCAGGCCCTTCTGAAAATGAGCAGGTGTGCACACTGACAGTTGTTGAGGGCTGGCACGTTGCCTCAGAACATCCTGAGACTCACACTGGCTCAGTTGGATGACATAAGGTCACACTGCCACAAATGTGGAGCTAGCACTGGAACTCAGACTCTACTCCAACACCTGTGCTCTTTGCATCTACTTGATTGAGGAAGGCTGGGGCCTCAACCAGAGGGAAGAAGAATGACTGACTAAATCTGTCTACAGAAATGAAGGGGCAATTATGGAGGAGGTGGCCAATGTAGGTACCAATGTCCATCTGATGTCCTGAGGCTCCATTCTGCCTTGTCCCTGAGGCCAAGATTGCCGTGGGGCAAAGGTAGAAGAAGGAGTTCCCCTGTTTGCTCTTCAAGGAGCCAAATGTGCGCAGGCCTCTGTGTCAGAAGAGGTGGGTGTAGCTCATCTTACTGTCCCCACCTGTACCTAGCCCAACACAGTGTGAAAACAGCAGATTTGAATAAGCCAGCCTGATCCCATTGCTGCCTCACCAGCTTCTTCTTCAGGTGAGGCCTGCCCAAAGTAGGGGAGGGGACAGAGAGGCAGGAAAACCTTGCTGGATGCTGCAGTCGGGGCACCCTTAGTCTATGTGTGTGCTGGTGGAAGGC